TAATGTTGCTGTGTTTCCTATGGTGAGATGAGATGTAGGTACCTATAAACGGGCCAAAGCATCTACTTACATAAGCTGGACCGTGAGCTCGTTTGTCAAAGTCCAATATAAAACAATACGCAATTTATGATTAAATCCAATCGCAAAAGGTTTTTTCCTTTAATTTGATTAATCAAATGACTATGAAAATAAGATTACGCAAATATAATTGTTCACTTGTGTGTTTTATTATAAAGTCAGATCTACATATGTGTGTGTACAGTGTAAACTACAGATACCGCAGAATGTTTCACGTGTTTGGTGTAATGCTTTAGGATATTTCGAAATTTATTCACAATAAAGAAAACTATAAATGAACACAGTGCATTTGTAGATAAAGCATGTCCGAGTGATTAATCACAGACTTAGGCATATAATTTTATTTATACCCATTATATCGTTATATATGTGTTTAGGATATGGTCTTTAATAGGTTGACTCGATCGGGGACCATGTTTTTACAGAAAGCATCGTAATAAAGATGTATAACGCTTAAGTGAGCGAGTGAACGAGTACCGGAAACGCAATAGGATTGAGGCATTTCAATTTAACTCTATCTTATTCTATTGCATTCCTCCTTTACCTCTGGGTGGAACATTGCCCTTGTATTGTATTTGGTATTAACGCTAAATGGATGCAGTTATTTATAAGACCATAGCAGCTTCATTTTATTAAGGTACATTTTTAGGGTGCCGCTGTCATAGAAAGAGCTCTTATAACTTCTCTCATTTTAAAAATGACTTTAAATCCATACTGTATTAGAAACCAGAACCTACACCGCAGCAGCTGTTATCATTAAGCCACGCGACCGTCCGATTAATTACTATTCAAGGCATGAAGTACATAAAAGTAATTTATTATTTTATTCTAATAAAGCATCAAGGTAGAGCCCGCATATTGTAGCTTATTGTAATTTGTCCTTTTATTATAAACATACGAGTATGTGTCACCTTCAATGATATATATATATATGGACAGGCAGACGAACAAAAACTATCCTATCTTTCAAGTTGGACCAAAATGCAAAATGTGCAAAATGTCATTGAAATCAGTTCAGTAGTTTAGGAGTCCATCGCGGACATACAATGCATGACTCGTAATTTTTATATATAAAGGAGATATCTTTATATATAAAATTTTAATTTAAATTAAATTTAATTATTTAAATTATTATTTTTAAATTTGTTTTAAATAAAGACATAAAAAGCCATTTAAATTTTTTTAAATATTTAGATCTATAATGCTTTTAAATCTATTACTGGCTATATAAAAAAAAAGTTTTTACAAATTTCACCGCATTCATTTATAATTTGAAAACAAATTGCATCTGTTTTCTTTTTTAAAAGCAGTGCGTTAGAGTAAATCTAAACTCTCTGACAATTTTGTATTTGAAGTTTTAATTTACAAATGTTGTACAAAATGAAATATAATATTTTATCCTTATCGTATCAAATTAAATCAAGACACTTTTATATTGAAGGAATTTTTATAAATTGCCGTGCACACCCACGCGGACAAAGAAGGAACAAGTCCTTGTTAGTAATTGGATCTTCTTTCACTGAATAACTCAGTAAGCGAAAGGTACCAGCACTAATTTAGCAATACTAGGTATTTTGTTATCCTATCCAATACTTTTGCCAATATTGTATACACAATTACAGCAGTTAATTCAATGACAAGCCTAAACGACACTCTCCCTAGTGTCACTGACAAAAGATTTGTTATTACTACTGACAAATAATGTTATTCCAATACTCTACTATACTTCATTATTATAATGTACACAACTTTTTACGTGGTAGGTAGAGCCATAGTGCAACTATATTGTGGTTGCACTACGAATGGGTCGGCTCGCCCGTGGTAGGACCACGCTCTCACAGAATACCAGCGTAAAATAGAAGCTTAATACTACTGTGCTTTTATTGGAAACGACGCATTCCATCTCAGTCCACAGGGGTGACAATGCATCTGCATTTTGATTCTTAATTGAGGATAAATGTAGATGTCTATGTGCCACAGCATCCACTTACCATCAGGTGAACTGTGTGCTCGTTTGTCACGCTTATTCTATAAAAAAACTACTGTAGTGTAAATAGCTGCAGAAAAATAATGATCATTATGCCTCTTGTAAGTGATGTAGTATTTTTAGGCAATCAAGCCATTTCTCTTAACGCTAAAACTACAATAATACTCTATATTTTAGTCGACTTGTGTTGACTATAACGGATATGATGATTATTATGTGCCAATGACCTGCGAAGCGACTTACTATCAGGTGTCTCATTTGCCACTAACGTTATAAAATGCACAATGTAGAGACCTCGTAGGGACACTTTTGAGAGACAGCTTTTGTTAGTAGCGATGTATTCCATCTTAGTCCTCGGGAGTAACACAGCATCCACTTACAGTTGCGGTCGCTGTGTCACCCTTATTTCTGTTTTAAAAAAAACTATTTAGGTAGAGTCACCCTTTAACTTGATATTAGCTAAGCCATTGACGAATTCAAATAAGGGTGCTGGTAATGTCCATCTCGCAAGAATATCCACTATTCCAATTCGATTTCTGGGTGTCGTAAGAGGTGACAGAGGGAAACTGAAACTGATGAGGGAAAGCACCATCCTCCTTATACCAACCGAAAAAAATACTTCGGTCGCCAACCGGCGTGGCAGGTGTGACAACAATAGTAAAAGCCCTTCTGACGAGGCAATGTAAGGGAGAGAATGTAATTTTGTTAGGCTGTAATAAACGCATAGAAAATAGTATATTATGGCGTAAGTATGGCATAAGATCTGTTACTTCCTCCATGGGAAAGCCACATGGTTAGCCTCAGCTAGCTCCAAAGATTACTATATAGACAATGTCGGAGTGACGTTTTGAGTAGACTATATCTCCTAGTACCGACTAAAAATTGTAGTACAATTGATCTTAACTGGATCGGAACTACAATCCTAGACAGTATCTTGATCAATTTTGGCTGACGTACTATTTACAGAATGTAACTTCGTGTTTCCTGCTAGCTCAACCCCCACCAAACCATAACTGATGTAGGATGACGTCGAACTTTTGCACTAAATTGCGAGGGTTCTTTAAAGCTGTGAGCATCCACTTTGTTATTATACTTCTTACAGTGCGTTTCAATCGTAAAAATGTTTTCATTTGTAAAGAGCGCATTTGGGGCTCTTTTAAGCATCATCAACTAATGTAATTTATTTGCAACACACACACGCAACGCACACACGCACACGCACGCACGCAAACGTATACGCGCAAACGCGTGCACACACCCTTGGCGTCAATGTTATTAGTTTTATTATCTTTGTCTAAACCTATATCCAAATTAATGCTTAAGCGATAGTGGTAGGTTGAATGCAGATACATGTAGACAATCAACACCAACAATATGTGTTTTCAGACACATGTTAGCTCATGCTCAGCAACTGCATACATATTTTGTCGAATTATGGCTTTAACAGAGTTCACAAGTCGTCCACAAGCTAATATACGCCCTAATCTTATGTGTTTGGTGCAGTGTGGTGTTGTCGATAGTGCAATACACAAATGTATGGCTGATAAATAATAAAAATTAATTTGAAAAGTCTTAAAAACACCGACGCCAAACCACTTTACCATACCTTTGTGCAAAGCAGTCATCGCAATTCTGTTTTCTTTAACGCTCCACTACGTAACGTCATTTAACATTTGTAAAAACAATATAAGAAATATTAATTATAAAAGAAAGTTAATTTTAATAAATAAAGACAAAGAACTTTTATAATAGTTATCGTTACAACCTACTACAGTCCACTGTTGAACACATGCCTTCATAGATTGCATCATAGAGGGATATTTGCCATATTTGCCACGCTTGGCAAGGGGGTTGGCAACCGCTGTTTTTTGCTTTTAGTCGTTATAGGAAGACGCTGCTGCCCAGCGAAGAACTCTTATAAATGTAACATTATTTATAGCTAGATCAGTTAGATAGTTTAATATTATACGTAAATAAAAGTTCATTTATTAATGAAAATAATATGATCATTTTAATCATAATCATAGAAATTCTTATAGAAGTTGGTGTTTCATCATAATTATAAAATATTTTCTTTAAATTCTATATTTAATTCCGTTTGATTGTAGTTTTAAAATCACATTTTGACTCTATCATTAAATCAGCACTTACACACTGCTGATTACAGTAATGTTTAGCTTTATTGAAGTCCAAAAACTTAATACATTTTAGTTCAATCTCTTGTGAACGTTAGAATTTAGTAATAAATCAAAAAAGAACCGAAGAACCGATGACAAATGTCCAAAATTAATTATTTATTTCAATATAGGGTCTCTATATCCGATAGACTCTATTCATTAGATTACTTAACTAGTATTTATCTTATTTTTCAATTAGGTATACTGTTTAAACCTAAAATTTTAATGGAGAAGCCCCCATACAGGTTAAAAATCATAATTATTCCTTTGGCTTTGCTGCAGCAGGTTATAAAAAATAAAAAACGGAAAATCATAAAAAAACTACTTGTCTATTGTTTTATCAAAAAGTTATCACAGGAAGGCGAATAGTAGCATAGGAGCAAAGTTATGTAATGAAGATAATTTAAAAGTAGGTAATATATACAATACTACACTCTGAATATGTAAATTACTTATTGCGTTGTAGGTATGTACATTGTACAACTCTATGCTTCTTTGTTATCTTAACTTTAAGTTACATTTAAATAATTGTATCAAGCTTTTTTCCATCGTATGCAATCTTACTGTAGCCAAACTTATCGGCTATCGGAGTTAATAAGCCTGATTACCTATTTTAGTACACTTTTGTGATTTATATTACGCGTAGACGTTCCGTTTCGCTTCAAATGCGTTTAGAAACATCTTACTCACTTTATCCTATTGAAACAGAGCCTAATTTTAAAATTAAATAAAAACATGCTTCGGAACTTTAGAAGTTCATGAATCCGGTCGTATTTTCAATAACCAAGGGCCGTAGCGTCAGTCAACCTCGGCCTGTCGTTCTTCGGGCGCGTATCGGTGCCGCGGCGCTCGGCTGTTTCCGCCGAGCTTCGGCTGCGTTCGGCAGCCACGTAACGTTAGATTCTTTGTTCCCGCTTCGGGCCAACGTAATCACTACTACTGTATTTTTCAACATAAAAGTAAATACTTATCTAACTTATTTTGTTACTTACTCCTTCTTTTATTTGTTTCATTGGATAATTTATCTTCGACAATCTTATCTTTCAATTACTATTTCTATTAATTAATAGTTTAGACCCCTTTGAAATTAATTTGTGACAGTGAATTAATTATTAGCTATTCATGCATGTCGAGCTACATGACCTTACTACAAATAATCTATATTTTAACCATAGAAGTAACCTCTCGCCATTATTATAAAAGACGCATTGTCAATTTTTTTTAAGTTTTTGTTGTAGTATTATTAGTGTGTTCGCGTTTCGTAAACATTATCCGGGACATAGAGTGAAAGTGCTTATTAAATAAGTGTATGGAAAACTTTCTAACGCAATTAAACAGCTTACGTCATAACAAATAAATGATCGCATCGATGATGCCCAATTTGTACCAATTAGATTAAAAATAAGATTTAAATAAAAAAAATGTTAAAAAATGTGTTTAAAATGTAGATTAAAAACAATAAAATATACCAAAAATCATATTTATAACTAAAGATTTTATAACACCTAAGTAATTTACCGTTACTGTTTTCATAATAAAAATTATTTAATTCAGAACTTTAAAAACATTGCAATTGTCCAGTTGTCTATCCTGGCTCTTGTACTTTTATTGTTTTATCTCTACATGAGGCGTCAATTAAAAACAAAATTTATTGTATTAGTATGTACTAAAGTACGAGTGTAATGTATTCATGTACAACGGCTGTTTGCAATAGACTATGAAACTATCAGTCAAACTAATTTAATAGCTACAAAATGACGGCCAAGCGTTACATTTTCAACTAACTTACAGTCGTAAAATTACAAGCTGAGATTACGTTTTCTATCAATCTGATCGAGTTTATTTTAGAGCACAACTCGATCATTCCAATGCGCCACGCTGTTTCTTCAAAGCAATGTTGAAAAACATGACAAGATCAACCGTATTGTTTGGCGTGTGGAAATTTCCAAACATAACATAACGCAGCGTTGCACCAGTTAAAAGAGCATAATACAATTTTTATTATTATCAATTTCCTCTTTCTTTCTCACTCTTTACTCGGACTATTTTTCTTTTACCTTTTTCTGCCGCTAAATTGCAGCCCTCTTGTATTGTTGCGTTCCGGTCTAAAGGTTGTAGAGAGCCCCATCTTAGTCCTGAGGGATGACAACGCATCTGTACTCATATAAATATTTATTCATATAAAGTTGGTAGCAGGTGTCCATGGACTGCAGTTGCCACTTACCATAAGGTGGACTGCCAGTTCATTTGTCACTTCAGTTAAATAAAAAACTCCTTATTATCAACTCATTGACAAGACTCGTTTGAAATTAGTATAAATTATAAAGAATATGTATATTTAATTTATTATTAGATTATGATGTTAATAGTTATTTTACATAAATAACAATGGATTCATGGAGTCATGTGCAAGGATATTTATTTATGAATATCGCGAAAATAAAAATTTGTAAGTATAATGATTTCTCATATTTACGCGAAAACTACACATTGAATAAAACTACTTTTACGGATTTTTCGCGTTTAATTAACGTTAATTAAACGCGAAAAATCCTTAAAAGTAGTTTTATTCAATAAAAATTAGTATTTACGTATATATTTTTTTAATTTTGCTTAATATATTCCGTTTACCGACATGTAGATACCTACAATAATATCACCAAATTAATTTTGGTTTTATTTATTGGCTTGAAATTACTAATCACGATATAAATACATACAATGTTTCCTATATATTCTGCTACAATAAAAATAAAACAACAACTAAATACAAACTTTTTATTATTTTTTTTAAATAATAAGTAAAATTATATGTGTAAGACCGGGGAAGAATCACGCTCTCACAGAATACCAGCATAAAATAGCAGATTAATGCTACGGTGTGTTGTATGATGAGTGTAGAGAACTATATTATTAATCGAGGACAGATGTACCTAGATGTCTATGGGCCATAGCATCCGCTTACCATCAGTTGTATGCTTGTTTGTCTAACTTATTCTATAAAAATCAAAAAAAACTTTAGACCTTGAGTAGCTGGATAAGTGTATTCGAAGATCGTGCTAACCAGCATATATTAGGTTAGTCTTTATATAGGGTATCCAATATAAAATACAGAAATGACTATGTAGTTTAAAGTTTTTGAGTCTCCATTCATAGCTAGAACAATTAGAAACTGGAGGAACGATATGTAATTCATGTGTTCATTAATGGAGCAAATATGGTAATGCAAATGTGTAAATATGGTTTTACAACAAAATCCTCCAAAATGTTCAATGTTTATCAATCAGCAAACTTTAAAAATTCTTAAACAAAAACTGTATAAAAAGAGTCGTTATAATCAGATGAAAAAAAAATAACCCTTAGGAATTAGGTGATCGCTGCGTGAGTTCTATTATCTATACAAATAAATAAAATTGAAGTGTCTGTTTTTAATGCCGAAATTACAGTTTTTTACTAATTGTATATGAAAGTATATACGGTACTTATAACAAAAACACAATTTATAAAATTTTTGTCTGTCTGTCTGTCTGTCTGTTTGTTCCGGCTAATCTCTGAAACGGCTCGACCGATTTTGACGGGACTTTCACTAACAGGTAGCTGATTTCATAAGGAGTAACTTAGGCTACTTTTATTTTAGAAAAAGAATTAGGGTTCCGCGCACTAAAACATAAAAACCTTAACACGCGAGCGAAGTCGCGGGGAACAGCTAGTATAACTGTAAAATAAGAATGTAAATTTAAAAAGAAAACCCGCTGGGCTTCTTGCTAGATCCACTCAGGAGGTATTTTCTGAATAGTGTTATATAATTCGATAAGTATTTTTTAATCTATATTGAATAAATATTTTTTTATTATATTTTATTATCTTGTCAGCAATTTTAAGATTTTCATGATAGCGATGAGGCCAACTACTAACCAAACTCAATCGAATATTATTATCGGTCAGTGGCATCTTGTTGGTGGAAGATTTTTAACGCAGTAGCGTTCTGTTGACATTTATCGTGTTATCGGCAATTTTAATATTTTGCGTCATGAGTTTATTGCAGGTTCTTGTTACTAGTACTTACTTACTACCTATTAGGTGAAGCTCGTGGTAGTAATATTATAATTTTGTTTGTTTTTATATTAAGTTTGGCTATAGCACTACGCGCTGGGCTGCGAGTGCGATACCCGTACGGTACAAATATTTGTATGTTATGTTATGTTGTGCCCCACAAATAATTGTTTCAGGTCTAGGTGTTCGTTTCTATGCAATTTATGAATGTAAAACGCGTTCACAACATACGAGGAATTCTTAATTTTTTTATTAAAAAATTATTTAAACCTCCTTGTTACTACAGGAAATAAAAAGTAGATATTTATATTTCCGTTTAAGTAGATAGTTTTTGAGGTTCATAATTACATTAAGTTTAGTTGTAATAATTTAGCGACTATTATAAATATGTATTAATTGTAGGACAAATTCAGATTATATTCAAGGTTAAAGAAAGTCATGGAGACTGAACACTTATTATTTAATGTATTCAATATTTTATTTTGTTACCTTCAATTCCATATATTAGATTATAGGTCGTCGCCCACAAGCCTCATGTAATTTATCAAAGGTTTTACTCTAGACCGTATTAGAGTGACCTGTGACATTTTATCTTAGCTAAAAAAATCTACGGATGTCTCAGTAAAACCACGAGTATAGCTGTAACATGGTATTCGAAATGTCAGGTTAACATTTCACACGTACACGTGCATAAACGGGAGGGCCGTTTATTTTAATATAATTGAGTCTTGAGTCTGCAGCCATCATCTCTATTAAAAGCATCGATTTAACGAGCGCAATGAGTCTGTACACTCGTACACTGAATATGGGTCGGCTGTGTGTAAACTTGTTGCAAGCATCTAAACGCGTTCAGCAGGTAACAACTAACAATAGCTTTTTAATGCATAAGCGAACAAATTTTCTACTATTAAATAAACTCGGTGAGTTAATCGTGGACGACCTTGCGATAGTGGCGTGACAGCTGGCTACTAAGAGCTAGTTTTTTTTTTTTTTTTAGAAAAGATACGGTTCTATTTCAAGTATTTAATTTATGTATATATTTTATTTTCATAAGTTGTAGAGCCATTAGTTCGGCTTTATACAGCTATGATTTTAGAACTATCAAAGTCTTGGTGCTTTTATGTTTCACTATTGGTCCTAGTGCTCGATATTTGACCGTAATTCATTAAATGTTTAAGTTTGTATATTATGCAGATGTGATTAATGTTCCATTGAAATGAGTACATTGGTACAACAATATGCTTTCCAACGTCAATAAAACGAATTGTAAAAAATTGATAATATTTAATGTAAAACATTTGAACACCAATTTGCTCTTCAAAGCGGGTGAGTTCAATCATGGATTCCACAGTTTTTCTTGAAATTACTTAAAAGCAATATATAGGCACTATTGGCCTATATACTATATATGTAAATTAGCAAGCAGATTGCTGCAGCATAAGATGTAAGAAAGATTAGAAGTTTCAGCAAAGTTTCAACAACTAGATTGGTTTATTTTAGTTACTTTCATAACGTAATATGTATATATATATCTATGGGGAAAAACAGTTAATATTGAAACTATACTTGTTTTGCAAAAGAGCGATAGAGGCAATATATAATTTAAATTATAAGAAGTCCCTTATAGAACATGTTAAAAAAGTAAATTTATTGACTTTAGCCTCGCAATATATTTATGAAAATGTAAAGAATGTACATAAAAACATACATACATTTGATAAGAACAAAGTTATTAATAATTTAAATACTACATACAAACACAATCTTGTAATGCCTATACTAGACTTTACAGAATTATTCATTCATTATAAGGTTTTATAACAAAATTTCGGAAAATGTTCAATGATTGCCAACAAAAAAATCTACACAAATAAATAAAATTGAAGTGTCTGTTTGTAATGTTAAAATAACAGTTTTGTACTAAATGCATATGAATGTATCTACGGTACTTATAACAAAAACACAATTTTTTTCTATCTGTCTGTTTGTTCCGGCTAATCTCCGAAACGGCTGGACCGATTTCGACGGGACTTTCACTGGCAGATAGCTGATGTTCTAAGGAGTAACTTAGGCTACTTTTATTTGAGAAAAAGAATTAGGGTTCTGAGCTCTCTAATTAAAACCCTAAATTACACGCGGACGAAGTCGCGGGGAACAGCTAGTTTAAAAATATAATTTAAGAAAAACTGTATAAAAATATATTCTATTATTAAGAAATTCATAAATAAAATTAACCCCTACCCCTCGGAATAAGCTGATCGCTACCATACTGGTTCTATTATAATTCATATAAATCTATTATTGTAAAATTTTATGTTTAAAAAAATAATCCCGCTGTGTTTCTCGGTAGTTCTTCCCAGGACAGAGGGTAATTTTGAAGCCGTGGTACATAAAAATGACTCAATAAGTATAATGAAATAATCTATGTAAAATAAAATTATTGTATTTTACAAATTAAAATTGAGTTTACTATCGATACTTTATAATATTATAAACGTGAAAGTAACTAGAATAGAATAGAATAGAATAGAAAATAATGATTTTTATTCAATATGGATTATTACATAAAACTCTTTTTCGCGACTAAACCAATAAACCGATTTTAGTAAAACTTCTTACGGGAAAGCTTGAATCCTATTAAAGGATACAGATGACATTTTTAATTCATTAGATAAGGGGTCAAATTAAAATAAAAGTTGGAAAAGTAACAATTTGTAAATAGGCTCCTGGAAAAGATATCAAATTATGATTATAAGGGTTTTGGAAATTCCATCCATAAGGGGGTATAATAGAAGATGTAAGTTAGTAAGGGCTCTGTAATAATGTATCCGTATTTTTAATGAATTTTTTTTGAAGATAAAATATGCGATTGCAACTGCACAAAGACTAAACTGAACTGAATCAAGAAATATGCGGATACTCTTCTGAAGATCTGTGAAGAATGTATTGCTACAGATGACATCCGTATGATTATATAAAATTGTGACTTCTGTAATACTGTTCACAGTAGAGAAAACTTACTAGAAAAAATTTATCCTAAACTACAATTAAATTTTTTTGCTAATTGAGTGAAAGGGTAATTTGGACCTATTGAATTTATAAAATTATAATTTCCATGTGTTTGAGGTTACAAATAACAAAGCAAAAGGGCAAACGCTTAATAAAATATCCCGTGTACAGTCAGAAAACCATGTTTAGCTAGTAAGAAACTGTACTTGGACAAAAAAATTATATATTTTCATTGCAAAAGAGGGCATGAACCAAAACATTGTTTTTAAAATTGTTTTGAGTTAATAAAGTTTGTCTTGAATCTTAAAACCAGCTACTGATTTGCAGTATGTACTTAACTAGCTAACGATCTCCTTATTGCTTTAATCTTACATCGTAATTTTCATTACTGATAACGTCTTTTTGTCATTAAAATAATTATAGCTAGTAAGTATTGAATATTTATACCTTGTGTGGGTACATTTTGGGCGCCTTTGCTTATAAATAGAAACGGTCAGTGAATAAAAAAGTATGGCTTTCTTTGTTGTAAATGTGGGCGTTGAAAGAAAATTTACTTGATAATTCAATTTAACAAAATGAACAATTCATTGGTTTGTAAAATACATTTGAACGTCTTAGGGCATAAACTTGTAAAATTATAAAATCAGTATATTTTAATTTATTTATTTTTTTGAGTCTAATAATTTGTTACAACATAATGTTCGTTTCCATTTGTTTTATTTTGCGCATATAATAAACCCTTAAGACAAAGAGATAATTATGTATACATTATTCTTTTTAAAATGCCAAACTGAAATATGTATTCAAGACATGGTTTTATTTTTGTTACATTTTTCTTTACCCTAGTCAGTCACATAGTTTAAAACATATACAGTGTGGTGCAACGGTACAGTTGTCGAAAACGTATTGCAAAAACAACAGCGGTGTACGAGTGTCGCGGCACGCGCCGCGGAAGTACGGAGAACGGTGCTCCAGCGGCCTTGGCGCTTCGCCGCGAAGGTGAAAGTCTTGATACGACGCGACGGTTCGATCTCGAACCGACATCCTCCTCCATTCGGTTTACTTAGCGCGCTGAACGCTGATTTATCATACACCTTCCTGTATTCAAATATGGAATGTTATTGTTATTACTTTTTAGCACAATATTGGTGATTATAGCTGTTAAAGTAAATTTCTGATAGATATACATGTCACGAATGGAATTTTGAGAATTATATTTTTTGTTATGTAATATCAAATATTAATACTAATTTTTCACATCTAAATTTGAAAAGTAATAGTAATTTATTAATTACAAATGATTTTTAATATAAGATCAAATTATAATGTGGTTCATATAAAATAATGACATTAGAAATTTTTGTAAAATTATCTTAACTCAAATTTAATAATGCTTTTTCTTCACTTCTAATACTTCTGGCCTGTTCAGTGGAAATTTGTGGATGGATGTTTCGTCACGATCAGCTGATTATCAATGTCTAGTTTTGTAACAACAGTGCAACAACAGTGTGCACCATGTATTTGATATTTTGCAAAAAATTAAGTTATTATATGAGTATCCCCTCTATTGAAATTACTGTATACTGTACATTGCAAGACTTTATTGATTTTTTTATAGAATAGGGTGGCAGGAGCACACAGTCTCGTACCTCCTGATGGTAAGTGGATGCTGTGGCCCATAGACATCTACATTTATGCTCGATTAAAAATCAAAATGCAGATGCGTTGTCACCCGTGAGGGCTAAGATAGAATGCCTCGTTTCCAGTAAAAAGGGTCTCCGGTTCTCTACACTCACCATACGAAACACAGCAGCATTAAGTTACTATGTTTCGCTGGTATTCTGTGAAAGTATGGTCCTACCCCGGTCGAGTGTGGCTCTACCAGGTATCGTCGTTACATTACAAAGACTAAGAGCACAAAAATGTGTGGTTAGTACTTTTTAATCTTTGAAAAAATTTGTCTATTTACAGTGTACTGATTTGATTCTTCTAAATCTTTTTTATATGAAATAAGTTTACAAAGGCAAATCAAGAGTTATGCGATTCAGATTAATAACACGAATCCTTAAGAAAGTTTATTACAGCTAAAAGCGGTCTAGTGCATCTTCACGCATGATTGAGTGTAGCAATTTGAGGGTCGATATAGCAGCTGCCTGCTTGTCACTGTTTGGCCCTCATTCAAATTTAAATGAATTGTCATGCAGTCGCACCGACTTGTGAGAAAGCACTTTATGATTATTTGGAAAACATTTTAATATTACGAAGTAAATATTGAATTACTAGCAATGCGGAATAAATTATATAAGGTAAATAATAAATCTCTAATACAACATTAATGTAAATTGACGCTAATGCTAACAAAAATAAAAACAAAATTCGTATACACTACGAAAATTTATCTTCGTTTTACAGCAAGTTGATCACCTTTACAATTACAACAGCTCTGGACGCAACCTTGGATTCTAATTGGGTAACTTTGTGCGAACTAAATGTGTTAATAATTTATAGGTTTAATTCAGAATTTAAAAATTTTAACAGTGCTGTACGGTTACAAGCTTATAGATTAAGTTTTCTATATGTACTGCTTTTGTAGAACTAGAATTGTTGTTATTTTCGTAACCTATTATTGCTAAGATTAGTCCTGAATGTAACGGTTACAAGTAACACTCTCTCTAACTATGTGTGGGTCTGATTTTTATTAAAGAACTATGTTAGGACAAGACAAAACAAAAATCATCAAAAATGCAAGGATTACAGATAGGATAATGAGATGAGGTATCCTTCGAAGGGTCGGCAGGGCGTACGGGACGCCCTCTTCGCGGAGCCTCACTAGAACTTCTGTGCGGAGTAGAACGCAAGCTGAACGCAACGCAGTTTGGCGCGCGAAGCCGTCACTAATACACGTTCGGATACATCCCGCCTAATTTTAGTTATGTAGCTCTCGCCTGTTTGGACAAGTATTAAGTTGATCGTTTCATGTGATACAGCTCGTTGATGTTGGCATTATGTTTAAATTAAGCGTGCGGTTTTTGAGTTGTTTAGTGCGTTACCATTGTTTTTAATTTGAAGTGCTACTTATTTGGACTGTTTTCTTTTAACGAGGTAAATAACACTCTTTTGTTATATACATTGTAATTAATTCAATAAGTTAATTTTTTTCTGCTTTTTATTTTATTATTTCTACGTAAAATATTTTATTATATGTACGTATTTTTAATTAACTAGCGATAAAGTAGTAAAGCTTGTAAGTAATATTCGTAGTTTATTTTACTTTTTGTTATTTGTTGTTATAGTGTCTTTGTTAAAAAAATGACATGCATTCAATCCAAGAATGCTACCCACACATGACGTCGGCACCTTGGTGCTCCATTTAAACCATTTCCGTAAGCAAGTTGTCAAATGGAAACGCCTAAGAGATTAAAATTTATTAATGCGCTTAGTTTTCATTAAATTTTATTTTTAAATAAACATATTTTTACAATAATATTGGAGTTTTACTACAACTATTTTAAATGTGTGGGCATTATAGTGACGTAATCAATTTAGTTCGTACCTACTCAGAGTTATCGAACAATAGATATTAATCACGCTTAGAAAATTTATTATTTTTTCTTAAGATGTGTTAGACCGTGTTTGTCAATTTCTACCTGACCCATCCTTTTGTTCGTAACATCGATGTCTGTCTCTTTCGTGCATAGTGCAATACATGGATAGGAATATCTCGGATCCGATTCTGAGATTTTCGGAATAGGGACGCGTCATGCGGCATTATTAGTTGGTAAGAAGTACCTAATTGGGCGAAATTATTCATTCTATTATGGACAGCTATTTCTCACAGTTTCCAAACATTTTTCAGGAACTAGTGAATAATGAAATAACTTTCATAAACAGTTGCCTTTTTTAATAATGCTGTTTTTAGTTTTTTTGCATTATTCGGAGTTGTGCAAAATAAATTCGCCTTCACAAATGCAGTGAACCATATTAAAATATATATTTTTTAATTTCTTAAATAAGTATCCAATAACAGTATAAGATGAAGTATATTCTTCTCCCATATTCAATTATATTCGCGTAAAATGTTCTTTCAACAATCATTTTCAGGTAGTGTAAGAGAAGGATGGCATGATATTTGCACTTCTAGTTTTGAATCAATTATGTCATAGTAAACTTCCTTTGTTGGTAATTTGCCAAAGCGTCTAGCTATGCTTATTATATCGTTTGCGGCCAGTAAGTTAAAAAATAACTTTATCTTATATAGGTAACAGTTAGCATTACGTAACGGTAAATGTACATGATACGTATTACAAGACTATAAAAATATAAGATAATTTCAAACTGTATAGGCACTTAGGAATATCTCGGAGTTGATTCTGGGATTTTCGGTATAGTAACGTGTCATGCCTCATTATCAGGTAGTAATTTAATAGTAACTAGGCGAAATTATTCATTCTAAAACATTTATCGATAACGGTATCCAAGTATTTTTCATGAAAAAAAAAACTATAAAGTAAAAAATCTGAGTAAGTTACATATAATGGTAATCTTTACTTATATGCGATATACTGTATTCATATTTTGTAAGTGCTGTTAGAATGTAAAGATATCGTTTTGATAACAATTTATCGCTTCAGAACGTAAGCAAAGGGAGTCAAACATCATTCCGATGGCAACTAGACACACCGTTACGTGATTCAACGAATTTTAAATCCTCTTTTTTGTTCTTACTCACTTATTTTATAAATATCTTTTCTACTTATTATTTTGTCACATGTTTCAATGACTTTAACATTTAATTTTTTGGTAAGTATTTGTAAAATATTACTAAGCTTAATTATTACATTTTTTTTAAATTCATATTTAGAAATGTATCAAAATGAGGTCCTTACAATTTTGGCAGTAGTGTAATATTGGCTGCTTCATCACCCTAAACTAGCGCATTGCACATGCGCTAGTACCTACCTATATTAGGGCTACCATATTCTGTCCGGCTTTAGTGGCTTTCAACTTATTATAGTCTTATCCGTATAAAAATTTCCAAGTTTGGTCTAATTTAGTCCGGCTTTTGTTTAGGCTTTTTGTCATCTCAACATGTCTTAGCGGGTGACGGGTTTCTTCACAGCTATAACTTCGTGGTCATACACGGTATCAACATAGTTCACCTGAAACAGAGGGTTGACCCGAGATGGCCACTTTAAGTGGACTTGTCAAGTCAATAACTCGCATCCAGAGCAAGTTGTTGGACTGTTAGTGAGTGGAGGAGTTGTCGTTCTATCGTCAAACGTTAGCCAGGATGAAGCTGCGATCAAAGGTTTGATTCCAGTGTTGCGACGTGCCAATCTTCTATTCCTCTGCGACTCTGCCGACAATCTTTCTTACGTGGTAGAGCCATGCTGCAGCTATATTAATAGTATAGTCGTAGCACAAATAGGTGGGCCCGAACAGTCAAACACCACGCTCTTACAGAATACCAGCGTAAAATAGCAACCCAACGCTGCTGTGTTTCGTATGGTGAGTGTAAAAAATTGGAGATAATTTTTATTGGAAACGAGACATTCCATCTAAGTCCTCACGGGTGACAATGCATCTAAATTTTAATTCGTAATCGGGGATAGATATAGATGTCTATAGGTCACAATAACCACTTACCATCAGGTGGGATGTGTGCTCGTTTGTCACCCTTATCCTATAAAAATCCTATAAACGAGATGGTAATACCGCTATCTTTAAGAAGTTACTAGATCTTTTGGGCACTACCCATAGTCGCCTCTTTTTACATCCACAGGATGAAATGGGGGTGATGAGTTCTCTTATGTCGTCACCATACGGACAACAATACCAGGTTCACAGAACACCAGAGTGAAATAGCAACATTATGAACACAGCAGGTGTTTTATATAGTGAGTTTAGAGAACCGGCGACTCTTATCACTAGGCGTTCAATTTTAGTCTTATGGGGAAAACGTATTTGAATTTTGATGCCTAATCGAGGAAAACATAGGTATTG